TTGTTTTCTTTGTAATGTCAGTGTCCAATTTGCTGAACAAGCATCAAAAAATGTTTTACAAATTCAAAAATGGTTGCAATGACAAGAAGATAAAAGAACTCATATTTTTTAACTTTTTTATTTGAGTGAACAATTAAAATCACTTGGACCGATATTATAAAATTGATTCCCTGTTGAAAAGTGTCCAATTATTTTCGCGACAGTCTGTAAGTAGAGCCGTTTTCGAGTAACTTGTCTCTGAAGAAACGAAATGATTCATAGCGAAAATATTTATTTTCATTCGTCCGTATATAAGGTCCGTTAAGAATTCATCGCCGTAAATATTAAATACTGCCAGTATATTAAATACCACATCCATAAAATATTAATTTCCCTCGGACTGATTGATTACTAATATCAGAGATCCATCAGTATCTAGTAACGCATTATGATGGATTCGTATTCGCAGAAGCGCGAAGCGAGCGTTCGCAGGGTATTTTAACGATGGACCATAGAAAATCCGCGAGGGACGGCGCGTATACATACATATAAGTTCTAATCGCTGGATGGGCTGAAACGCATAAAGATAATTACGGTTAATCCGCTAGAATAATGGGAACGGGACGGCGAGCGTGTTCAATTGAATACGCGGCGAACGGAAATATTCATTTTCCGAGAACGAAATCATTTATCGTCACTGGCGTAAGGCCGTTAGACGCGGAAGAAATTTTGCCGCAAAGGAAACAGATGCGTACACTCCCGCTGGCTTCTTTCCTTTGATATTTCTTTCTATCTCGCGACCGTGTTCGCGTTCACCGAGCTTCTACGATCGCGCTCATGCGTGAATATGGAATCGCTTCATTTAAGTCGCCTTGCTGCCTGTCATGGCCGTGGAAAGAGAAAGAGGAAAGCCTGCTTTCAGTATGCTCCGTCCCAGATGTTATCCGAATGCCAATATTCCACGGAATAATTAAGCGGAATCGAGGCTGTTCGCGGCGCAATAAATAATCTTCTTTACAATGGTATTCGTTCATTCGTTCTATCGGTTTAGCTCTGGATCTTCGAGGTGATATTTGAACACGAGCTTGTAAAGAGGATAGCTTTTTTAATAATTGCGTTCATTTCACTTGCTATGTTTATGATCAAAATTACCAGATGAGATAACAAACTATATACACGTTGAAAATACTTCAGATTTATTGCGATTTATTAAAATTATTGAGAGTAGGAATTCATTTTTATTTCATTTTCGTTTGTTATGTATGAAAGTCCACAGTTTAATTATTATTCCTAGTTTTATGAAAATGTATTGTAGGAGAATGCGATATTATTAAATGAACATGTTTATGAGATGCATACTTCATAATTTTATTTTTAGCCCCTTGACATATAATGGCGAGTTGGGGTCGTCATTCATTTCATGCGAGACTGTAGACTTTGACGAGTCTAACTCGTCAAGAGCTGTTTTCGGCGGACACCGTGCAGTATATTATTAGATTACTCAGTTGCTTCACTCGTGCGTCGATTCTGGTTTGTTTACAATGTCCCACCCTCTCACTTTCTCGATAGTATCAATAACAATGTTGTATCCACAAATCAGCAATTCAAATTTCAAAGGAATTTTTCAAAGAAATTTTTCTCTTTCTCAACTTTCACATAACTGACCAGTTGAGTCAAATTAAATAGTATTTTTCGGTCGCATCAAATTCCGTTTTATTTGTATGTCAAGAGGTTAATAATCTTAAAAATTCTGTATATTTAATATTTTTTATAATTAGACTGCGAGCGTTATTCAAATATAGAGATGCGACGAATTTGAACTAANATTCCGTTTTATTTGTATGTCAAGGAGTTAAATTGTGACACTAAAATTCTTCCTCGCTTTTCTTACTACACTTGTAATCCGAGAAGACAGTAGCAATAACAAAGTTGCATCCAGGAATCGGTAATCCAAATTTCAAAATAAAACATTCTCTTTCTCAGCTTGCACACAAGTTCACATTTAGTTCAGTCGAAGTTAAATTAAATAGTATTTTTCGGTCGCATCAAATTCCGTTTTATTTGTATGTCAAGAGGTTAATAATCTTAAAAATTCTGTATATTTAATATTTTTTATAATTAGACTGCGAGCGTTATTCAAATATAGAGATGCGACGAATTTGAACTAAGGTAACATAAAGTTTGATATTTTTTCCCTCTAGGACGTTTAGCTAAATCAGTCTCGAATAGAACCAATTTCGACTCACTTTTTATTTATTAACATTAGGAATAAAAGAGAGAACGAAATCGTTTATTCTAAATTTCGTATCTTTGATCACTGAAGTCATAAAGGTACTTAATGAGAAATTATTATATAAATTAATTCTTTTACGCACAAATTACAACGAAAGTATCGCTCAATTTTATTATTTGCTATTTCTACAGTAAAGAAAATTTTTTACAATATATAAACCTCTAATAAATATATCAGTCCAGAACTATGTCGTTAGATTTATAGTATTTACGAAAGTTGCAAGACATATTAAATTGTACGAGTATAGTAAATATTCACAAAGATCGAAGGATTTAAAAAGTGATGTATTTAAAATTTTGAAAGCAAAATAAGCTTCCTTTGAAATAATTCATACCAATATTTTTCGAACGTAACAGAAAAAGAAAAGTTGTAAAAATATTGTGAAAAAGAAAAGTAGATATATTGATCACAAAATGATACATATAACAGAAAATAAAGCTAACAAATATATCGGTTTTAAACTTTGCAGCTATATAAATTAAATAGCAGAGAATATAACAAAATTTTGTACATACAAAAATAATAATTGATATAGTTATACAAGTAAAAATTATTTGGCACAGCGAGAAAGCACAGCTATCATGAAATCAGCCGTTCCAAAAGATAAAAAAAATTTTTCTTCGACGAAAATAGTCATTGAAAATTTAAACAAACTATACAAGATTGACCTTTTTAGTTAACCTAAGCATATAATCGATCCAAAACCTGGCCCGTTGCTAATTTCGCGAATTCATCCAGAATACGTATTTCGCAAGCACATTTTGCACAGAACTGCAACGACGCGCGAAAGTGCCAAAAAAGAACGAAGAACTTCGATTTGTCGAAGCCGTCCTTTAGCGAGTAAAAGAGACCAGTTGGACGGTGTCATCGTTCGCGGCGGTAAATATCGAGCGGGATCTGCGTAATCGCGGAATGGTCGCGGACAAAATGCGGCGCGGAGCGGATCGAAGCGATGCGGCGCGTTGCGGAGCGGTGCGGAGCGCATCGCATCGGGTAAGGATAAAGAGATACGTTGGAAAGGACGCGCGTTCCGCTTTATCAGCGCGCACGGCATACCGCGGCGTGTTTCCATTAATTCGCGTCGCGGGGCAAACTCGTGCCGTTGGAATGCCCGTTGAAGCCGAGGAGAGAAGTCGTTAGGCTGCGTGCCGTTCGGCCGGGCAACCGGTTTTCCCATCGGTGATTCGTCGTTAATTCGCCGATGGAGAGTAAGTAATCGCACGCGTACCAACGACCACCTCGAGTGTGTTACACGGTTACGTTCGCGCCGCGCCTACCTCGGGGTTGTTCCGATTTTCCTCGCCGATAAGCCCTGCCCGCGAGAAAAACCGAGAAATTCCATTCACCCTTTCCGGTGAGAATTGTCGCCTTCTACAATCGCCGCAGAGAGTATCTTGACGCCTTCTCGAAGGGAATAACTTTTTCGAAATTGTACCAAATGCTTTGAATTTTTTTGAGATGCTAGAAAGGCCGGTTCAACACTTTATCCGCCAGACCAACGTTCTAAAAAATGTCATCAAATTAAATTACTTAATTTAGTCAAATTGGAATTGGAAAGTTAAGTTCCATGATTTAACTTACTTTTTGAATATTCATACGTTTTGCGGTTCCCAATAAAATTAGGATGATGCAGTAAATTAGCGTGAAAAGTAATTTTCAAGTTAATTAATTTCATGGATAATAGGTAAAACAATTTTTACAACAAATGTAACGTAAATTACTGCGATTTTCGCTATTTTTAATTGTTTTTATTTTAGCTCGGGACAACGTTAATAAAATGTAAATACCGAGACTTAAAAAATATATTTTTGTAATTCTGTTATATATTCAGATAAAAGAGTTGGAAAACTACTGTTCTTTAATTTTGCTTGTCACTCCAGTAATTGCAATTTTTACAAAATTTAGTTTACTTATTGTCCAGCAAACTAGTTCGTTTAAGAACCAAACAAATTCAGTTCATTTGTGATTCAATATTTAAAAAGTTACTCCGCGTTTAAAAAGTGTCAAGATACTTTCCGCGACGACAATATGCTCGCGCCAAAGACTGGTTTTATTGTCGCTCAATAACATTTTTCTTCGCCTCCCATTTAGCTCCCTTATCCAGCATTTTGCTTCGTGTTCGATCGATCCGATCGAGCCTCGTCAAACGATCGGCGAAATCGTTTTGATGTCCCGAAACTGTAGAACGATCGGAGGTCGAGTTTATCGATGTTTTCGAGTCTCTAGAACTGTCTGACGTCAGTGTCCTACAAAACTGCGATAGAAACTCGATCTTCTATTTGCGACTCTCTTTAAAGGTCTTAAAGTATCGACGGCAACTTCTCTTTATTATCAACAGAACTTTCCAGTATTTCTGGATGCGTTCTTTTTATCTTGATTTGGGTATATATATAGAGCTGTTACTTTGTTATAGTTTATTTTCTCTATTGAGAATGCGTAATTTAATTAAATTCACGGTAAAAAGTAATTAGAAATTCTATATTGTAATTTCGCTTTTGTATAATTATGCTATCCTAGTTTTTTTTTATTTAGTTTTTTTTAATTTCTGTTCTTATCGTTTCATAATGGGCAAAAATTCTATTTATGAAACTTTTACAGAATTTATTGTATCATAGTTCTATAAATTTAAATTGTTAGTATTTCATGAATAGTAGAAGTTATTTAGTTACGTTGATAATTACTTGCTAAAACGTAACAATTACCAGTGGAAATAAACGCATGAACTCACCAAAGAAGTTCGCCAGCATAGAAGTATAGGCTCCTTCTGCAATCAAAAAAGATACATTTTATTCTTAGTTTCGAAAGTACTACAATATTACATACGACAAATGTTTATAAAATTAAGTAAAATATGAAACAATTGATCCAAAAGCCATTGAACAGTTAATTCAGAAAAGTAAATCTTTACACGATTAATTTACTACTTCAATTTTGCTGTAACTATAATTATTAGAAATGAAAACTGGTATTAAAAACTATGTGACAAGTAAAGTTCTTAATTTAAACAATCTACACTTCTCATCGAAATATTTAGCTATAGCCTATTAACACAGAATGCAAATAATACTATTTATTAAATAGTATTTAAACGCTTGCCATACTTCGAAGAGTCTGACACGTGATGATGATTTCTAATAATTATGTTAAGTTTGAATGCTATTCCGTTATTTTGAATAAAATTCTGATTTCTTGCTGTCAGTATTTAAACATTTAAGTAAATATAGACACACGATAAATCTAAATTGTCTTTTTCTTTCTCTGAAATTATTATAAAAAACTTCTAATCATTCAATCTAATCATCTAATCATCAAAGTGGTACGGCAAGGAGTTAAGTATCAAAAAAAGCGAGGAAGTGGAGAATAATTAAATGAAAGCACTAAAAAAGTAAGACTCTTATGATAAGAAAAACGTTTAGCAAATATCGTATAAAGTCGTTTAGCGACTATTCTGTAAAAACCTCAGTAAGTTCCAAAATTCATTTCCTAACGTCAGAACATCGACGGATAAATCGTGATCCATAGACTGCGGATTTTTACGCGTAATAAAAACTATTTATCTCATTTCTAACAAACTGTAGTAAAAATACAAATATATTTCTTGCCCGAATAATTTCAATAGCTTACAGACAATATCTTTTATTTTGCACTATTAAGCCTCCCGATACTTATTTGCCTGGCAAGCACATAAAATCCGCAGACTAATAATCTATCATTGAGTTTTCTAGTTAGCAGCGCGAGAACGTGCCGCACGTAGCACAGGCCGCTTATTAGTTTTCCCTTGAATTTTACGATACTCGAAGGGACTTAAATACATGTTCACACTTCGCGGCCCGCGCAAGTGTTTGGCGACCGAAACGTTCTTACGTAGAAACGATCATACGTGGGCCACGGGCAGGGGACAGGCGAGCGCACACGGCCGCGTGGCAAACAAGTGAAACAAGTCACCGGACGATACACGAAAGACACTCGGACATTATATGCACGCATGCGCGATGAACAGCTCGTATTATTATATTTTACTCTGGCCGACGCGGAAACACCGGGATAATTTGCGCGAACGAGCCGCAATTATTTAAGGGTGTGCATAGGTAAGAAGGGTGGTAGCCGGCTGCTATAGGGCAACGTCATTTTAGCCACTCGCGTTACAGCCTCTATCGATTCACGTCGCCTTCGCCGCGTCGCCATCGCAAAACGAGCTCATTGCCTTTTTTTCAGGGAACTACTTTTCACTAACTAATAAAACCCTCATCTAACAGCGGCTGCTCGCGCGCCCTGGCACTCTGTCTTGGATCATGTGTATGTATATAGTTGGTTCCACACGCTTTGCCTATTTGTTACAGGCGCTGGGTGTGAGAAACCCCGGCCCGAAGTAACAATTTGAATGTTGAGATTACGACAAAGGCTTCTATATCAAAGCGTTATTTAATTATCTGATATTACTTAACCATGGTATTTTCGATTTGCAACAAATAAGGTTGAAGTTGTTAAATAAAGATAAAGATCTGATTTTTCAGAAATTAAACTTTTTATTAAACTCAGTTGCAGTGAGAAATGAAGTAATTACGACCACACAATAAATATAAATGTAAATCTTCGTAATTACAGGTTATTCGTATTTTATTTTTATCTTTTGTAACGATAATTAGTCGCTTCATAACCTTTCTGGTGTACGCAATTTTTACTCTCGACTGACATAAAAATGCAAAACATTTCTTAACACGTTGAGAGTTATGATGGTCGTATACGAGTGACACTATTTTTTGACCAGTTTTCAAAATTCATTTCTATTGCAATATGTTCGAACAAACCGAACTTCACTAGACCGCTTAAAATGTAACAGAGTTAAAATACTATCCACTATGATAAACTTTAACTTTCTAGTTTCAGCTTTATTGAATAAATTACTTCGACTTTGTAGGATTTACAGGGGTTAATTTTTGGCATTCGACGTGTTAATTTATTAACAAGAATGATTAAGAAATATTGATGAATAACGGAGCGACATAATTTTGAAAGATGTTTATTTTTCGAGTGGCAATTTGTTAGTTCTAATACTAATTATAATTTGTGTAATAGCAGGACATGTATTTGATTCGTCCAGTTGGAAGTTATTTGTTTAATTAGAGTTTGAGATAGTACATTCGCCAACATTTACCAAACTTTCATCTTTGGTACGTGTATGTAACATGCTGATCAATAAGATGATGCAACAGAAATATGAAGTATTGATTTGAGTTAATTAGTAGTTTCCGTTGATATCGGTCTCACCATGTTCGTCACTGTGTCTTATAAGCGACGAGTCGTTTCCAGTGAATGGAAAATTGAGGTCACGAGACATTGATGTGAATTCCTCGAATACAATTGTTTCCTACTATTGAAAAATGAAGGAAATTGTAAATGTAAAACGACTCCATGAATTTCTATATTGATCTAGTTAGATTGAAAACGTAGACTCATTCTTAGAACGTAATGGACGGTTTAACATAACATTTAAGGTGAGAAATGCGAGCTACGTCCCACCAATCGTAATAATACTAAATACCAGCAACTAGTATCTAAAACACCTGAATGACGTCTACGCGAAACTTACTTAATGGCCTTGTTATTCGTGCGTCAGTCCGTGATAATAAATTACACACTATAGTGTAATGCAGCGAAGAATATGAAATCGAAGGTTGACTACATCTCTAATATTAACAAATAACTGTACACGCTGGGAAAGTGTCATTTGCAAAGTACTATGGTAAGAAATGCAGTCATTTTGGATGATAGCGATAGCGCATGAAAATAAATTTATTTCTATCAAATATTGCTCACCGTATTAATGAAGAGAATTAAGTGATTAGTTTACATGAAACAATACACAAAGTGTATTCTACATGAAAAAACAAATCGAAAATAAAGAATACAATTTTTTCAGTTAAGGCGTCGTTGTCGCGAAAATCGACTTTGAATATTCACCACATCCAACGTTTTTTGCATTAAAAAAGTAAGTTTGCAACTAAATTACATATCTTATTTCCATTTAAATCCATAGACAGCAACACGATATTACTTATATTGTCCATCTAAACCATTCTCAATCATGGTTACAGCAAGAAACAAAAGTATTCAAATGCCTTTTAAAACGGAACAACTTTTTCAGAACTGATTTAAACGATTTGAATTCTTTTTTAGATGACAGAGGCACCAATATACTAGACCACAGTATATTGGTATATATAATAATTATATATACAAAAACAAATGAAAAACTCATGCTTGAATATTCAGAGTCGATTTTCTCGACAATGAAGCCTCGAATTAAAAAAATGTATTCCTCATTTTTTATTTGCTCTTTTCGCGTAGAATCATTCCCTTCTCGGTTGCACCATCGATGCTGGGACACCCTATATAAATTGTCTTTTAATATAACGTAAAGTGACTTGACAGTCTCGGAACAAGGCTAAACTTCAGCGTCATTATCATCGTAAAGCAACAACTTTCCTGTCAACCATTTTCGGTATGATTTCCCAGCGAAACGATTTTACCAATAAATTTCATAGAGCACATCCTGCGGAGTTTTATCCAGAGAACACACTGTTAAGGTAGGAAGTTTAATGGGGGGATATCCAGTATATAAGTGCTACATAAATAACACCGAGGTCGTTAAAAACTTCTTTACTTCCTTCCTTACTGCCCTTTAAAGACACAGATATAGGTGGCTCGTGTTAAGAATGTACCTACATGCAACATGGCACTTCGTTTCGAGAACATTTCAAGCAATGCCTTCGGAAAACCTTGAAATTGCGAGGCTAATCTTTTTCTGGGTTCTGACGAAGGTTAAGCGTCCCGCGACGCCAGATCCGCGGAGAGCCGAGTTTGTAATCGTTTAGGTGGTCCTGGCGCACGCATCGCGCCGGTTGCGTCGTGTCAGACAGAAACAGTGGCCAGCACGTATGCACTTGTGGAAATGCACCGCGGCTCTAGAAGGCGCGGGGGCGTCAAAGGTGGTTGGAGTGGCTCGGGGGGTGATTATGAGCGAGTAAGTACCGCCGTCCAGTTTTTACCCCTCCCTCCCGCTGACCGGTCCCTCTTCTCTATCGTGGCAACTACCCCCGCCACTTTTGCCACGACTCAACTAAACCCCAACGGATCAATACGCTAAAACATTGCCGCGTCGGGACGCCGGCGTGTAAAACCCGAAAGAAATAACAGTGGCTCGGTGTTTTCCTTCGGTCACCTCGTGACGTCCTGCTGCTACCCCCTACCCCCGCTCCACCCGCGCAGCGCTAACAAACTTCCGTTCGTCGTCCATTAGTTTCCACCACCCAGCCGGACTCCGTCGTTCGGTCACTGATTAAAATTTTGGCTCTTTTGTTCCCTTTTTTAACGCTCTGACTGCCGTGTCACACACAATTGGCTGGCGGAATTGTTTGCTCAAACTTGGAAGTTCGTTTCTACGCTACTGGACTGCAAGATGCAAGGGAATTGAGAGGTTAATGCGTTAAGTGCCGATTACTAACTCCAAAAATTGTTCCATCAAAGTTATTTAACGAGTTAGCTGTTTCGGGCGAGTATACTCGTCGTAACGCAAAACGTTGCCATTTCTTCGTGACGAGTATAAATTCAACTAAGTAGAGCTAATTGGTTAAGAAGAATATATATTTTGATATTTTTTTATTGAATTATGTATTTTATGAAAGTGTTGCACTTAAACAAAATATGAAGAAAATCAAACAGATACTGCAAAATTTAGGGTAACTTACACACTTTTCAAAGCAA